TGCCCAAGGTCAACTCCCTGTACCATAGATCTCAGGAGGTGGTCCTATCAGACTTCTGTCCTGACCAATCCCAGGACAGCGAGAGTCAGTGGAGTACATTGGATGTCCGCAGGGCATTACAATGTTATATCAGTCGGACTGCGGCCTTCTGTAGATCTGAGGCCTTGTTTATTTCCTTCCAACCTTCGGCTACGGGTCAGAAAATCTCTTCATCGACTATAGGGAGGTGGATCAGGGCTTGCATTGCCATGACATACAGAACACAATCATTACCGGTCCCTGGGAATATTACGCCCCATTCCACCAGAGGTGCCGCTACTTCCGCAGCCTGGGCGACACAAGCATCTATAGGGGAGATTTGCAGGGCAGCCACATGGTCTTCCCCTTCGACCTTCATCCGTCACTACAAGATTGACAAATATGCATCTTTAGATGCCTCCTTTGGGCGCAGAGTTTTGCAGAGAGTATTAACATCTAGAACATCACAGGCCCAAACTGACTCCCTCCCTTAGGGATACAGGGCTTTGGTAAGTCCCACTAGTGGAGTCTCCATCCAATCATGCTGGAGAAGGGGCGTTGGTCTTATCGGAACGCCTTTTCTCAGCATAATGATGGAGACTCCATCCCCTCCCAGATAAGGTCAGTTGGTCCGGATTCCAATGAGAGGAACGCAAGTGCGTGGACCAATGTCTGTACACCGACTCAGTCTTAAACTGGGGCATGGGGACAAAGGGAGGCGTAACTTTAACTCTGACTTAGTCTGATTGGAGGAGGAAGATTAAGACAACCCACTAGTGGAATCTCCATCATCATGCTGAGAAAAGGCGTTCAGGTAAGACCAACGCCCCTTTTCACTAGTTCCTTCTAACTTGCTTCTAGACTTTTCATAATGTCTCAGATATATGGATGGTGGAAGCTCTATTAATGAAGTACATCTTGAAGTACTGTAGAATAGGAATAAATGGGCAATTATCTCAATGGAGAAAATAAATTAAATCGGGGTGGGAATCAGTGTTTTTAAAACTTAAAACATTCACTTAAAAGTGAGCAATGAAATGACAAAGCATGATTACTGTGATAAAATCAAAAGGGGATTGTATAGCGCTCCAGAAAGATCTCTATAAAATAGGTAAATGTCAAACAAAGGACAAATGTGACTTAAGTAGGCATGTAGTGATGCAGATGGAAGGGGGAAAAATCCTAACTTCAATTGGGTCTGAACAATCTCTAACTAACCAGTAAACAGGGTGATCTACTAAAAATGTCAACTCATTCTGTGGTAGCTGAGAAAAAGCTAAAGATCACTGAAAAGGGAAATGATGGAAAAAAATTTATAAAAGTATACATACATACACACACACACACACACACACATATATGTAGGTCTTTGGTTATTCGGGTTTTTTCCCGCGTAAAATTGGAAGTGTCTTGGCGACGTTTCGACGAAGTCCCATTCGTCATCTTCAGGCTGGTGTTTTCAGCTTTGTGCTTCGAGGAGCAATGTGTGGTCTTAGCTGTTTTTTCCTTTTAACTGCCAGTGGGGGTATGAACTGATTGGGTGGGAGCTTGGCTGTGTTCTGATTGGGTGGGGGTGTGTTCTGATTGGTTAGGGGCTTGGCTGTGCTCTGATTGGCTGGGGTGTTGGCTGTGCTCTGATTGGCTGGGGGAGTATTCTGTTTGGGTGGGGGTTTTGTTGTGCTTAGGTTAGTCTGAGTTGCAGGGGGGTTAAGATGGTGGGCTGCCTTGCTATTTTTTGGCTTCGCGTTCATGGTCGTGCTTCATCTTCATGGTGGGTGTCAGTTTGCTTCATGTATGGATTGGAGGGGTTTAAAGTGGCTAATGATGCAGCTGTGGTCTGGCTTCTGGTTTGTGGTCGTGCCTCATCATCGGTGTGGCTTTGGGTTTGCTTTTTGCGTGGATGTGTGGTGGTGACATCCTGTGTGGTTTTTTTGACTGTGGGTCTGGTGTCATTCTTTGTGTTAGGGAGTCATTTGTCAATAAGGGCGGGTTTCCAAATGGCTGGTAGGCGGGAGGTATCATCTCGTTTGTTCACGCTGTGTGGGTGTTTTTCTATCTTGATGGCTTCTCTGATTATTCTGTTATTAAAATGTTTAGTTTTGGCGATAGTTCTGGTATTTTTAAAGTCAATTTCATGTCCTGTGGCTTTAAGGTGTTGGACCAGGGAAGATGTTGGTTCCTCTTTTTTGACTGAGTTCTTACGTTCTTCAATGCATGCACTTATTCTTCTGTTGGTTTGTCCGATGTATGTGTTGGGACAAGCGGTGCATGGGATTTCATATACTCCTTGATTTTCTAACTCAATTTTGTCTTTGGGGTTTCTTAGGATGGTGGATATTTTTCTGTTTGTGCAGAATGATGTTTTGATGTTGTGTTTATGGAGGATCTTGCTGATTCTGTCTGTGGTGCCTTTTATGTATGGGAGGAGGGCTTTGCTGTTTTCTTGTTCTCTGTCTTGGATTTTAGTGGGGGTTTCTTTTTGGATTATTTCTTTGGAATCCATTGGATGTTAGTACATTGGTGAGAGTGATACACATTGTGTAGTTCGGTTTTTAGGTGTTGTTCATCAGCTAAGCGTTTTGTTCTGGAGATGAGTGTCTTGGCTACGGAGTTGATCTGTGCTAGGTGGTGGTGTGAGAGAGCGTGCAGATAGCGGTTTGTGTGTGTTTTCTTCTGGTAGATGGTGTGTCCTAGGGAGCCATTGGATTTCTTGTAGACTAAGACATCCAGGAAGGGAAGTTGGTTATTAGCTTCTGTTTCCATGGTGAACTGTATTTTGGGGTGTAGGCTGTTGAGATGTGAGGAAGTTGTCCAGTTTTTCTTTCCCATGTGGCCAGATTATGAAGGTGTCGTCTATGTATCTGAGCCAGAGTTTGGGTTTGTGACCCAATTTTTCTAGAGCTTGGGTTTCAAAGTGTTCCATGTAGAGCAGTGGTTCTCAACCTGTGGGTCAGGACTCCATTTGGGGTCGAACGACCATTTCACGGGGGTCGCCAAACAACGCAGTCCGCCATTTTTTCCCCTTTTCCTTAGCTGTGCTACTCCCTTTTATTCTTTCAAAAGCCAATAGGAATTGTCCAGGCTGTCTCTGCCCTGCTGAGCCCGCCAAAAGTCCCATTCTGCAAATGGTGCTGCACCAGTTCAGTAGTCCTCGACTTACGACCGGTTGAGTAGTCCTCGACTTACGACTGGTTGGGGGTCGCGGCATTAAAAAGGTTGAGAACCACTGATGTAGAGGTTTGCAATGATAGGTGAGAGAGGTGATCCCATGGGTGCTCCTTCTGTTTGTTTGTATTTTTGTCCGTTATAGATGAAGTATGTGTTGAATAGGCAGTGATTGGTCAGATCTAAGATGTGTTTGTGGGGGTTATATTTGTTTTGGATAGCTGTCAAAGCTTCTTTGATAGGCACTTGGGTGAAGAGGGATATGACATTGAAGCTCACGAATAGGTCGCTGGGCTGTAAGTTTTGTTTCTTTATGATCTCTATAAACTGGAATGAGTTTTTTACGTGTGAGGTGATGGATTCTGACAAATGACTCCCTAACACAAAGAATGACACCAGACCCACACTCACAAAAACCACACAGGATGTCACCACCACACATCCATGTAAAAAGCAAACCCAAAGCCACACCGATGATGAGGCATGACCACAAACCAGAAGCCAGACCACAGCTGCATCATTAGCCACTTTAAACCCCTCCAATCCATATATGAAGCAAACTGACATCCACCATGAAGATGAGGCACGACCACGAACGTGAAGCCAAAAAATAGCAAGGCAGCCCACTATATATATATATATATATATATATATATATATATATATATATATATATATATATATATATATATATATATATTATATATGTTTTCTGACGTTTTCGCGGGTATTTGTATATAGGTCTTTGGTTGTTCGGGTTTTCTCCCGCGTAAAATTGGAAGTGTCTTGGCAACGTTTCGACGAAGTCACATTCGTCATCTTCAGGCTGGTGTTTTTAGCTTCTTCTTTGCTGCTCAAAGCAAGAAGCTAAAAACACCAGCCTGAAGATGACGAATGTGACTTCGTCGAAACGTTGCCAAGACACTTCCAATTTTACGCGGGAGAAAACCCGAACAACCAAAGACCTATATATATATACATATATGTATGTATGTATGTATGTATGCATGCATGCATGCATGCATGCATGTATGCATGCATATGTATGATGTATGTATGATGTATATACATGTATGTGTGTATATATACACACATATGTCTTTCAAAAATCAATGTTATCTGTGAATGAGAGGTAGCATGGTACCACATAGTATAGGTTTTGAGGGACCTATGTCTCCATCTATTGCTTGTGAACAAGTAATGGCATCTGGAGACCACTGTGAGAAATAGAATGGTGGACCAGATGGGTCATGGCCTGATCTAACACATTTATTCCAATGCTGATGCAACCACCAATATTTTTGGTTCCTATCTTGTCTATGTCACAACATCCTTTTTATGTCCTTACTGTTGGCAAAAATAGTGCCAGCCTTTTCATCTACAAATTTCAGACAGATAATTCAAAGAATCAGAATGCTCTGATCACCACTGGTCACTGGTCACTATTTTCATAGTTTAACAGGACAAGCCCATACTAAGTCCAATGCACAAGTAGACCTGATTTTAGGCTGATCATAATAAGGAAGATTGTGTCCAGGGATCTGGCATCTTGTCCATGAACGTATTAATGCATAACTGAAAATACTTAAATCTACTGTGCCATTTATACTGGCAGTAGAAAATTATTTTTGCTGCAGTACTTATTTCCACTCTGACTGTGTTGATTAGAAAAAAAAATCAAAGAAACAGGTAAGAATATTGTGCAAAAAAAATCATATAATATTGTAGACAATGAAAAAACTTTCCCTCTGTGAATGGCATAAACATGGAATTAAAAAGAGACACAGTGTCATGGGAAAAAGCATAAAAGAGCATACCATCATCACTGGTATGTACTTCTGCCCCAGCATCCAGATCCACTTCTTCTAAGGTACCATGTTCACTATAAGGGCTGTCACTGTAGAGAAAGGAGCACATGAATTTATTTGATGGTTGGATAGAACTATCATTTAAAATTTCAATAAACTGGTCATATTAATGTATTATTTTACAAATATAAGATTGGTTAAGCAGTTTGCCAGCTCTCTACACATACACACACCATGCTAGGTACAGAATACACATCCTTAATCCAAACAGAATCTCATTTTTTCATGGGAAAGAAATGCACTTTATAATGTACTCATAAAGAGATAATCCCAGCAACTCCCTCTGAAGGAAGAGAAAGAAACTTTTGAGACTTTTTAAAATAAGGCAGAGTTGCATAAGTTGTGATTCAAGATGGAAAGGGAATCTAAATGGCTTCACACAGATCTCTGATAGAATATGAATATATTAGGAATTTGGAGCACATCAAGGTAATTAAGATAGTGAGAGTTTCAAGAGAATTCAAGTTCTTAACTAATAGGCAAACAAGTTAGCCAGGAATCTAGGCTAAGATTAATTTACCATGTAGTATTACATCTTCTGTACATCTCCCTATAAATTTTACAATTGAATCAGTCACCAAATTGTCAAGTTGGTCATTATATTAGTGTCCTGGATGGAGTATTTTCAAATATCTGTATATAACATCTAGTTTGGTCTAAATAATCATAGCTTGCATCTTGATTTCAAACACTCATTGATGGAAAACCACCAGACAAAAGAATCAATTTGACCATCAAGATATCAAAGAAGAAAGGTACTGACTGCTTCTTAAAGTTAGTTAGGCCAAGCCTACTAAGCCAGACCCATCTAAAATTTCCTCCTGATCCACAACACAATCTTGGGCTAATGTGATGTTAAATCCACTTTTTTCTCTTCTTGGCTATTATTTGGCTCTGAAAAAAATAACAGCCATTTTATGGATGGTCTTCAACTAAATGTGCATCTCTCTGGTCTAAGAAATGATCATATCTCATGTACCTTTTTTCTAATATAAAAAAGACTATGTGGCAAGGCTTCATATGAGGTTCAGTGATTAAACTTTCTCTCCCATGCCAGCAAAAAAAGGTTAGAAAAACAGAATTACTGCAGAGAGTTAGGAAACCATACAGATGAATAAGTTCTCTTACACCACTCCAGAATCCAGCTGTTTATATATGTTAGTTCCAGGATTTGAATTCTAGGCCTCTCACTGCTGCTGCCACTGAGCCACTGGCTGTACAGCTGTTGCATGTTTTCAAGCCTTGAATGTTTCTGTCATCTATCCTTGTTTACAAAATGCTTTTTTCTCTGTCGTGAGTGACTCCTGCTCCTCCAACTTCAGCTCTTACATCATATTATAAAGAACTGGTTGCACTATTGACAAATTCCTACATATAATTTACCTAGATTGGAAGGCAAATCAGGGTGGGTTTTTTTTTTTTTTGGGGTGGTAGATGGGAGCAAGATTACAAACTCAAAGCTGCTAACAGAATAATGTGACAAATTTGTTTGGGTAAAAGACTGAAGGACTTACCAGTAGTCATCACCTGCCATACATTTTTCATATACTGGGCCATCTAGTTCCTTGCTATCTGGGAAAATGATCTCCTGGTGAATGATAATGGTTTTGATGATTTCATTAACATGAGCCTGGCACGACACTTGTTCTTGTATATCTGGAATGGGCATCAATGTTGGGCCAAAACAAATGGCCAGGTTATAAGGATCCATCATATTTTCATCACTATACTGAGAAAGGCTGTTTAAAAAAAGAATAAAAGAAAATAAGTATTTTGTAAGCATGTTATTGGATGATCTGGTAGCTATTTTTCCCCCTAAAAATTCCAGTTTATTTTTCAATTAAATTGTACAATTTATGTTATATTAAAGTGATTGATCTTAGTCTGATTTTTTTACATCTCAAAAATCTGGCATATAAACAGGGATGTGTAGACTTCTATATCCATTGCACATAATGATGAATGTATGGCAAATAATATTATATCTAGACAATATATCTAAAGCAGATCAATAATTTTCAGGTAATTCAAAATTAGCACTCCCTGCACCCCAAAAAGACTTGAATTATAGGTAATCTCAACAATATTTCTGTATCTGAAGGATATGGAAAAGAAAGAGCTATTCTCTAACCTGAAGGAAAGATAATTGGTTCTTGATCTTAATGGACAATGCTTTCAGTTAAAAAAGTGAACCTCTTACATTTTTCCTTATCCAAAATGACTCACAACATTTAATTTGCTATTTTTTAAAAAAATCATTACCATTTTTTATCAAATCTATGTAAAGGCCTTTAATCTGTCTGTGTTCAGATAATTTCCTTTTGCATTTGAACCATTCTCAATTTTTTCTGAATTCTTTGTCCCAACATCTTTCATAGCCACAATATGGTGTTTTCTTTCTTACCACATTAAAAGACAAATAGAATCTTATTTTTACACTACATTAAAAGAAAACTCCATCTGCCTGTCTGGTAAATCATTTCTTTTGCTTTTCTTCTAGCTACCTCCCTTTTCGCCTAAGTATCTAAAGTGCACTCCATTTGTTGCACAGGAAGATATTTCTATATCTCAGTTCTGTTTTTTCTCATCCCGTATGTTTATCTTATTTATTTATTAACCAGATTTATATGGTTATATCGCTGCCTCTACTAGCACGAGTATGGGCGGCATAGTTTTACTTCCAGATCTGCTGCCGGCCGGGCTTGGTGATGCAGGGATACCACTGCCGCCTCCTACTTCCCTGTGTGTTGGCTGGTCAAGGGGCTCAGAGCAGCAGTAGGAGCAACACCCGCCGCCCCTGTCAGAGCCACTTCCAATTTTACGTGGGAGAAAACCCGAACAACCAAAGACCTACATACAAATACCCGCGAAAACCTTTGAGAAATAAAACGTGAGCACCAGGAAGAAGTAAAACATTAAAAGTTTTATAAAACGCTAAAAGTTTAAATATAAAACATTTAAAAGTTTTTTTAAAAAGCAGACCTAGCTTTCGTTGGCTCCTACCAACATCATCAGGGTTCAAAAGAATCAATGGGAGAGACATTTATAATCAAGCCTGCACCTGCGCCCGGCTCCTGGATTGTGTAACAGGTCCTAACCAGCCAATCGTTGTACCTGTATCAATCATTAGACAATCATCCAATTTGTCTTCATTCCCCCCATCCACATGCGCACTAGCTTTCATTTTCCCACCTCTCCGCCTCTGTAATTCAAGAGGGCATTTGATCTTTCCTCAATCCAGTATGTAATCATCATCATTAAGCTGCTTCCCCCACTCTTTCACTCCCTTGGAACTTTCTGTACAGCTGGATTTCCTCTCCCCTACACCCTTTCGGCGTCCATCACTGTCATGTTCTTGCTCTTTGCTCCGAGGTTCTGTTGCAGACATCCTGCAAACACTCGCATTATCTGACTTCCCTTCACACTTGATCTTCCTAACAGCCCCCTTGCTGCACCCTTAACAGCATGAAACTCCTTCTTTCCCATAATAGTTCTTATTCCATACGGAGGACTAGTCTGTGGCTCCATATCCCTCATTCTATAGGGTGGGTGGAGGATGTATTCAAGTCTCTACCAATACCCCCGCACGCCCCAATCCCGTTTTGATCTGCCCTACTTATCCTTCGGGACTGCAATGCGAGTCTCTCACCCCACCCCGTGCTATTCTCTCTCTTGTCCTCATTCCCGTGCATCATCCTGATTGGCCTGTTGTTTGATCCAGCATCTCGTTCCCTGCATTCACCTAAAACATTCTTCACCGCTGTTCCATTGATAGCACTTTGCCATTTGGTCTGGTGTTGGTGAGCACCATTCTCGTTCGACCCTAATCCCCCATGTTTACTCTTTACGGAGTTCCTCTGTCGTAACCGCAGTTGTTCTTCCATCACATGTCCCCGTGTCAAATGTACCAGAGGGGGGGTCTCCCTTCGTTCGCTCGTAACCGAGTTACCATTATGTGTCTAACAGCGTTACTTGTAGACGGCTCATCTTTGTCACCATCTTCAGATCTCATTACATCCCGTCTGCCCCCCGGTCCCCCGGATCCCACCTCATTATTCTGGATGTTATCCTTCCATGCTAGGGGGATTGGAACAATTGGAACGTGAGGCTATGACCCACCACCGGCCCAAGTTTTGGGCTCGGTATGTGGACGACACATTTGTCATCATTAAACGATGCTATCAAGCTAACTTTATGGAAGTATTAAATTCAATATGTTCGGATATTAAGTTTATGGTGGAGGAGGAGAACTGGGGCTCGATAGCCTTCTTAGAAGTTTTGCTCCAACGTTCTTCAGATGGATCTATGAATACGAAGGTCTATCGGAAGCCCACCCACATGGATCGAATCCTCCACTATTACAGCAATCAACCAGTCTCCCACAAAGTTAGCTGCATCAGGACGCTGTTTAAGCGGGTACATTCGCACTGCAGCAGGCGGAAGAAAGGAAACACCTGTTCCGCGCATGCCGATGGAATGGATATCCTCCGAGATTCATAAAACGGCATGGTAAAATGGTATCTGAACCCCGAAGTAGACAGCAGAAGGAGGAACCCGTGGTGCAAACCATACGTGTCTCCCTACTGTATATCAGCAATGTTTACGAGGCTACGCCTAGACTGCTAGCCCCTTATAATATAATATAATCACAAGCCCGATCAGACTCTACGATCAAAGTTTATGCGCCCTAAAGACCAACTTCCCACTGCTGAGAGATTGGCGGTAGTCTATAGGATCGATTGCATGGATTGCCAAAGCAATTATGTAGGCAAAACGTCGAAAAGACTAAAAACCTGCCTGCATGAGCATAAGTTGGCAATTAGGAGAGGCGAACAACATTCGCAGATCTGGGCTCATATAGCCAAATACGACCACCATTTCGACTTTGAGAACATGCAAATTTTGTCCAACGATGCTACAAAGGGAGGCCGTTTGCTAAAGGAAGCCTGGTTCTCAGGAAAAGATTCGATTAACTGGCATGTGGACCTGTGCTCAGCCCACTAGGCACTAAGGACATGGAGCACAGATCATCGCCCCAGCCATCGGAGGGAACCGGGTTGTAAATCGTACGGTAGAGAGAAGGATGCCATTTCGGATGCCCTGCTCAACTGCGCCAATGGAGCTCCAATCGGCATCCCGCATGCCCCGAGTATCCATCTGGTGCTCGGTCAACAGCAGATCAGCTCCAGCGGGCAACTGCCGCAAGCTTCCCTACGATGCCGTAAAGACAGACTCCCCCTAGAATGGAAAGATAACATCCAGAATAATGAGGTGGGATCCGGGGGACCGGGGGACAGACGGGACGTAATGAGATCTGAAGATGGTGACAAAGATGAGCCGTCTACAAATAACGCTGTCAGACACATAATGGTAACTCGGTTACGAGCGAACGAAAGGAGACACCCCCCTCCGGTATATTTGACACGGGGACATGTGGTGGAAGAACAACTGCGGCTACGACAGAGGAACTCCGTAAAGAGTAAACATGGGGGATTAGGGTCAAACGAGAACAGTGCTCACCAACACCAGATTGAATGGCAAAGTACTATCAATGGAATGGCAGTGAAGAATTTTTAGGTGTATGCAGGGAACGAGATGCTGGATCAAACAACAGGCCAATCAGGATGATGCACGGGAATGAGGACAAGAGGGAGAATAGCACGGGGTGGGGTGAGAGACTCGCATTGCAGTCCTGAAGGATAAGTAGGGCAGATCAAAATGGGATTGGGGCGTGCGGAGGTATTGGTAGAGACTTGAATACACCCACCCCCACCCTATAGAATGAGGGATATGCGAAGTGATGGAGGAATTGCACACAAAGGAGGAGGGGGGATTCCAACCCCACCCAACCTGGGGTTAACAATGGAACGGTGCGTAATGGAGTGCGAGAAAGGAACGCGCATTGACGAAAGGGGTGCATTTAGAGCGCAATTCGATCAGCCGGGGCCAGTGACGCGCTCCAGGAGCCGGAAACAGGCATTTAACGATCATATATAGGTTTTCTCTCAGCGTTTGCCTTTTAACCCTGATGATGTCCAGAGTGGTGACGTCCTGTGTGGTTTTCATTGAGTGTGGGTCTGGTGTCATTCTTTGTGTTAGGGACTCGTTTGTCAATAAAGGCGGGTTTCCAAATGGCTAGTAGGCGGGAGGTATCATCTCATTTATTCATGATGTGTGGGCGTTTTTCTATCTCGATGGCTTCTCTGATTATTCTGTTATTAAAATGTTCAGTTTTGGCGATAGTTCTGGTCTTTTTAAAGTCAATTTCATGTCCTGTGGCTTTAAGGTGTTGGACCAGGGAAGAAGTTGGTTCCTCTTTTTTGACTGAGTTCTTGTGTTCTTCAATGCGTGCACTTATTCTTCTGTTGGTTTGTCCGATGTATGTGGTGGGACAAGCGGTGCATGGGATTTCATATACTCCTTGATTTTCTAACTCAATTTTGTCTTTGGGGTTTCTTAGGATGGTGGATTTTTTTCTGTTTGTGCAGAATTTATATATTTATGTATGTATGTATGTATGTATGTATATTTCTAAAATTTGGATGGCCACAGGCTCTTTCTCAGTTTGCCAGCTGTATCAGGGGCGCAATTAGGGGTGGCTCCGTGGAGTCCCGGGTGCCTGACTCACGGAGGAAGCTGGGACTCTGGAAGACATGTGGCCGTCTTAGCTGCCAGGAAGCAGCTAGGAAACGGCCCAGGGAGCGATGCCCCCGCTGGCCACTGCCCCAGCCAGGACTACCACCCGGCCCAGCTTGGGGAGACTCATGGCTGGCTCGGCTGCCCAGGGATGCCCTGGGAAGTGATGTCCCCACCGGCCCAGCTGGGACTGCCGCCTGGCCCGGGGAGATGCATGGCGGGCTCGGCTGCCATGGAGCAGCCCGGGAACGACCCAGGGAGCGATGGCCCCATCAGCCGCTGCCCGAGCCAGGACTACCACCCAGACCAGGGAGACTCATGGCTGGCTTGGCTGCCCAGGGACGCCATGGGGAGCGATGCCCCCGCTGGCCCAGCCGGTACTGCCGCCCGGCCAGGCCTAGGGAGACCCGTGGCCGGCTCGACTGGAGCAGCCCGGGAAAGGAACAGGGAGCGATGCCCCTGCTGGCCACTGCCCCCGCCAGCCACCGCCCCAGCCGCCCAGCCCAGCAAGATATGTGGCTGGCTCAGCTGCCCAGGGATGCCTTGGGGAGCGATGCCCCCACCAGCTGCCACCCCAGCTGGGACTGCCGCCCGGCTTGGCCCAGGGAAACACAGGCCGGTTTGGCTGCCCAGGGAGTGGCCCAGGGACGGCCCTGGGAGCAATGCCCCCACCGGCCGCCGGCCCAGCCGGGACTGCCGTCCAGCCCGGCCCAGGGAGATGCGTGGCTGGTTCGGCTGCCTGGGAATGGCCCAGGGAGCGATGCCCCTGCCGGCCGCTGGCCCAGCTGGGACTGTCGTCCGGCCCGGCTCAGGGAGACGCGTGGCCATCTCGGCTGCTCAGGGAGTGTCCTGGGGACAACCCAAGGAGTGATGCCCCAGCTGGGACTGCCGCCTTGTACAGGTAACCTCGGGGGGGTCACACCACCTGCCCTGCAGCTGTTTTGCGGCGGTGCTCCGTAGACTCGGGGCCCCCTCCTTCCCACACCACTGACCATCCATCTCCGGTGCTGCTTGTCCAATGGTCGCGCCAGCTGGGCATTGCAGGGCCTGCTCTCCCTCAGGATTGCGGCTTGTGGGAGGGCTGGCCCACTCAGTGGAGGCTCCAATGGGCTGCCCAGGGAGTGCGGGGATCCTGGGGTTTCCCCATGTGGCTCCCCAGCAACGTGCGCCTCGGACAGGGCCAGCCCAGGAAAGGGACTTCCTGGCTGCCCTTCTCCCAGGGAGTGGGGCACCCAGGCACAAGGCCAATCAGGAAACCTGCAAGGGGGCAAGTCTGCATGAGAGAGAGAAAGAGAGCTCTGCAAATGGCAGGAGGCTCCGGAGCCGCAGGGGATGGCTCAAAGAGCCGCCTGCGGCTCCAGAGCCACAGGTTGCCGACCTGTGAGCTAGAGCATAGCAGAATTATGAAACATTCTTTAGAAAGTTTTCCATTCTTACATTTTTCACCCCTCATAACGAGACTCCTGTCAGGCATTGCCTTGAAAAAGAGTCCACACTCGTGAGAATTAAAGCTGTCGTCATCTTTGACTTTGTCAGCTTTAAGATGTGTGTATCAACTCCCACAGAATTCAAAATGTTGCTTAGATTCAGAAACATTGAGCTAGACAGAATGATGGGAACAATACATAAAATTCTTATCCACCACACCATTATGGTAAGTTCCTGTAACATCCACTCAAAATTCCAAATGTTCCCAGTAAATGACAAGAAATCTTGTTTAAATTATATACTGAATCTGCATTTATAAATGAGATTGAAAAAAACAAACAAGTTCTTGAAATTTCTATACATTTCACATGAATACAACTTTGTATTTTCAAGAGTGATATTAATGTTCAGTGTGCAATATATTCTGGGAGGATAGAAATGAGAACTTCAAACATTGTTATCCCATGCTAAGGTACATGTAAAGAAATTGAAGCTTTCTTTGAAAAAAAATCAACAAACACAATGTTCCAATGTTCAAGTATTACCATTACTTCTATTTTCAAGCTTTCCATACTATTTCTATGATTTCATTTAAAGAGCTAATTCCAATTTGCATGAAAATCATTCCTCTTCTGCCAATTAAAATAGCACAGTCTTTGGTAAAATCAAATTCTTTCTCTTCCTCCCACTCTCTCTCCGGTTTCCTCACCACCACATTCTCTCTCTCACACACACATCTTCCTTCAAATATCTGAAATATTTTTACAGGAAGTTAAAGCTACTTACTGATTGAGGAAGGCAAAAAGATATCTTAGTAAGATAATGATCGATCTGGGCAATGTCAGCAAAAGTTTACGTATGTGAAGAGCTCTCTCGTAGAGATTTTCTGTTCCTGTAACATCAAATAGAACAATTAGTTATGGTTGGCTACTGAAAGTATAGAAGAACCTTCCACTGCTGATATGTTGGGCCACAACTGAAGATGTATTGGTTTATATGGCATTTGGCAACTATGGGAATTGTACTGCAACACATTTGGAGAATATCAGATTGGAAAAATATTGTAGGGACTAAATGAGAGTGCAAAGGGGGCATATTAATTTATTCTAAGATTTCCTGTTGACATTAATTATATGAACAAGTTCCAAAGGCTTGTGGATGGTTAATTTATCCAATTAGGATCTTTGTCTATATCAGAAAGGAGAAAAATATGCTTAAGTTCTGTCCTTAACAAAATGTAGTACATTAATCAAACCAATGGTATTTGGGAGGGGGATGGTCATCTAATAAGCTAGCTTAAATATCTATACAAGGGAGACAGTCTGAGTGCTATGTATATAAAACATACAGTATATCTTGTTCTTATTGAAGGGAGAATGTGAATTCAAAAACACACTTGTTAAAATGGATGTACGTAAATAACTATGATAGCAGTAAGCTGTCCTATATAAAGCTGTTATGGAATAGATATGTCTGGGCAAATAATAAAATTTCATTTATTAAAATGACCATTCAAAACATATGAAAGAAACAAATTTAACTTACTGACACCAGAAATAAGATCATTAAATCTTTCCTTAGGAAAAATAGGATTCTCCAGCCCTCGGAAATAGAGCTTCAGGACTCCAGCAACTGAGTTAATATCATGGTTACTTTGGTCATCTGCCAAAGGATTTTCACCTACAAAAATAAATCAGATTAAATACTTACAGGCCTTCGATCTTGATAGCCTTCTTCTATATAAGATTCTGAACTGTACTATATTGGTCATCCTGAAATTAGAATGAATGTAGCAAGAACTAAAATATTGCTCAAATATATATCTATCCCATTGGGATATGAAGTTTGATTTCATTCTTTTTAATTATAATACAATATAGAGCAGGGGTGTCAAACTGCCGGCCTACAGGCCGGATGCGTCATACCAAAACTGTGTCCACCCCATTACCGGCAAAAAGTCACAATACGTCACGACACGTCATGTGATGTCTCGAGTTTGACACCCGTGATATAGAGTATAGAGCCTCTTTTGTAATGTTTTAAAAAAATAATAAGTCCCGATCTGGCCTCTGGACGCATGTGAAAGTGTCCCCCGGCTTCAATTCCATTCTCTGTTGCAGAGAACAGAGGCCTAAAGTATCATGAGATCACGCGAGATCAATAGCGTGAGATCTCACCCCAGTGATCTTGTGTTACTTTAGGCCTCCATTCTCTGCGAATGCACTGAAGGCCTGGATCAGCCAAGAAAGCAAAAGATCTTGATCTTCGCAGGGTGAATATTGAAGGCCTGGTACCTAGGGAGACCTGGGGTAGGAGTAGGGGTAGGGGAAGGATCGAATAACTAGGGTGAATGTTGTAGAGCATGTGCATTCGCTCGTAAGGGCGAATGATTGCAGTGGTGCTGCAATATTCATAATTTTGGGACTTTCTCATAAGCACTAGGGGCGCTTATCACTTAACTTTGAACGAGTGTTAAGTGAATGCTCATAACTCGGGGATAACCTATATTCTTGAGAAGCTGAGGACTGCATTGGTTAAATATATTGATTTTCATTACTATACAAATATTGATGTATTCAAGTTCATATTTTCTTTGAGGTGAAAAAAGTAATTTAAAAGATTTTAAAAGGAAAATGGTACACAACCAGATGGCCCTGAGGTAGATGGAGGAAGAAGCAGAGAAGGAAGAAGCTGCCTATTTAAAAATTTAAACTAACTCCTGAATTTAAAATTCAGGAGTTAGCCTTAAGCAATAGTTGTCGCTACCATATCTGGGCTGCAATAATGTGGATGGTTACAAGATGACAGCAGAGCTACGTTGAACTCTTTTTGCTGTCATTTAGAGCTTATGAAGTTCAAAGATGGTAGCCTTACCTCCAAAGCCAATATCCAAAGCTATCTAAGCTTTAAAAGATCAATTATGCTAATTTCTTTGTTTTTCTATTCTCAATGAATAAAAGTTCCCTCCCTTTCATAATAATAATTTAGGAAAAGAACTTCTATGGTATGATGGTACATATGAACAGGAAAAATGATAAATCACCTCTTTCAAATGAATTTTTAATATCATTGACCTCCACCTGGGAGCCTGACACCCTGAAAATTCCCTGGTGTTGAAGACCTGAAAAATAATAACAGAGTAATATATAAAATTCAACATAATGTTTCAAATGAGCAAAAATATACTAGCATCTTAGTCATTTATTATCACATTTATATATATCTTTTCACCAAGATTCATCAAAGTAGCTTACTGCATTTTGAAATGCAATGCTAACCAAGCAAGAATTCCTTTTCTTGCTTGATTCCGGCCTCTCTTCCTTCCTTTGCTCCATGGCTTAATACCTTCCAATTAATCCTTTCTTATTGCTGTCTGAATTGATATTCTGCCCTTTCTCTTTTAGTTTTCAACAGGGAAGTTCTTTCATTCAATACTAAAGTTTCAATATTCTTCCTAACTGTAATTGGAAAAAGATTAGAACATGCCAGAAAAAAGCATCATGATTATTAAGCACAATAGTCTTTAAAAAAGTGGGATTAAATTAAAAACTATTTTAGAACTCACCATACAAATTGATAAATTGGATACAGCTTTCTACAATGAGGGGGATTACTTGTCCTGAGTCCTGGTGAGGGGAAAAATAATCCAAATAGTTTGAAAATTGTATGAGATAAATAGCACTTAATTATCATTAGGATACAGTGGCATCTTTATAGTATCAGACATATAACACTCTATACATCCAAATCTCACTAGATTTAAGGACCCACTTCAATCCCACATTTTAAGAAAGCAGAACTCTTGGAGACGGTTTCCTCCAACAGGAACTTTTATTAAGAGTAGTTGATAGCAGGCATAATAGACAGGATCTGAGGGATTCCTTTACAGATCGATACTTTAAAGTGTCCCCAAGCAAATCCCACACCACAGTTCATCTGGCCGGTTCAAAACCAGCCAATCCCCAGTTGTTAAGTCCATCGTTGGAAAGGGGAGATAACATCGGTCCGGCTCTGGTTGCAACACGATGTTCAAGCGGCTCTTCGCACCTTTGTTTGGTAACGGAGAAATAAGCCAGGCTCTGGAGGTTGTATTTCTTTCTCCCCCCCTTTTCCTAGCTGACAGGTTAGGGAGAAGAAAGTTCAGAGAGAGATACAGTGAAGGAAGAAAATTGTTACATTGTAGTGGGACAGCAGACACAGAAGCAATAAATGAAGCAAAAGGTTACTTTGTAGCGAATAGAGGAAAGAAAAGCAATAACCCCCGCAAGCACATTGCCCCTCCCCTTTGGGATTATGGCAGAACCTAAGGAAAGGTGAGATTTGTCTTTAGGTTATGACCTAAAGGGGATAGGTAGAAATGAAATGGGTTCTGACATTAGAATGATATCTATACCATATTTATACCATAAATCAAGCTCTTGAGCTAATTGTGTTTTTTTCAATTTGGCCAGGAAGCAAACAACAATGCCCAGTGTCTATAACCAATGCTGTATATTTCTATTGATGATAGCTAGCAAGTCCTATTTAAGAAATCTGGTAGGTGCAATAATAATAGAAGCTACATTGAAAGGAATAAATCTTGCCTGGTAGAGTGCTGCTGTTATTGACTTTAATAAATCTTAGCTTATTTATTTAAAAGCAAGGCAATTTTTCATTCTTCATCTCCTGTTCCTCTTTTGATTTATTTAAAGCATTTTATTATTTGAGGGAACACAATACAACAGAATTGATGTTATTTAATGTCTGATTATTAAAAAAGATATGACTTCAAGATCATATTTAGAATAAAGAAGAACTGAATTATAATATAGAAGGAAAAAGATGACGCAAACTTAGAGGCACAGTGCATAATCTTGCTCCAATAACCCAAGGTTATTAAACTAATGCCCTTATGCCTGAACTGCCTTTATAGATTATATAATAAATTTGGCTATTTATGTTTGTGTAACTAGGTGTAACTAGTCCAGAATTGTGGGTTCAGGGACCAATGCCTCATCGTCTTCCTTTGTCACAAATACATGGCCATCAAATTGTTCAAGATGAAACGCTTGACCAGCAAAATGTAATGGAAAGCTTATTCAAATATATAAACCTTACTAGTTGTTTACCAGCTAATATCTGCACAGAATGCAAAACAGATGAAAGGGGTACTGTTTGCACAAGGAATGTAGAAATTAAAATGAATGGATTATTAATATACTTCTACAGCTCAGTGAAAATCTTGGTTTTCACATTAACATTCTTCAGTGTCCATCATTCTACAGATATTTGACCAGTTTTATGGAAAAAATACAAATCAAAATAAATTTCCAGGGTTACAGTGTAATGCAATAGTTTGAAATAACCTTCACCATCTCATCACAAGTGGAAGTGAGGAGAGTCATGGCTAGGAGATGCTTCCCTGCTGCATCTCCCACTTTATGGAAACACCATTTGGTATGCCCTGATCCTGGAAGGTTCTCAGAAGTTGTTTGAAATACAGAGCTCTTCCACAGGGCTTTTAAAAATTAACAAGAAAACACTGTTGGAATTCCTAATTTTTACTAGAATATCTAGTAAAGACTGATAGCTCCAGTTTATTACACTCTTAATACAAAGGCACTCCTGTTTCCATGATGACTATCTGAAGGAATCCTGCAATCAGTCATCAGATGCTATTAGGAAAGCAATAGTTTTTTTTCTTTTCTGCCAGATAGTTTTGTACTTAATATTCAAGAGCATTTTTGAATTTGAATGAGGTCAGAATTATACTAATTTCTCTGCATTACAAATCCAAATTCCTGTCATTATGATAGGTGGGCAGGGACATTTTTTCAAAAGTAGGAATTTACCAGCATGCAGAAGAATTCCTTATAAATCATGGCTGAATCACCAGTGAAACTGACAAGTTTCACTTCCAAAAACAGTATTTTATTGTTCTCACAGAAATGAAAGCAAACTATTTTCTATGGAAAAAAGTATAAAGTATAATGTACTTATTGACATTATTTCAATAAGAATTAAACAGTTTATATAGAACAAATTCTTTTCCTCTATATGGTTATCTTATTCTTTCCCATAATATTCAATGGGAACAAGTAAAAAACTAAATCAACACCCATTATGCTGGATTCTGAATATATTCTGTCAACGTGGATAGACTTATCACAGCTTTTTGGTATCATATGTATTTTGATCTTTAGTTTATTTCTTTTAAATGTATCATTTCTATTTGTCCTTTAAAGCACTCAGCAAGATAGTTAATAAAATGAAACAAAAGAAAAGTACACATAATCTCTGAATTGATTCAAAATCCGAATATCATTGTCCAGTAAACCTGAGATTCTTCCTCCTGGCCATAGAGACAGGAACTTTCTCTCCCCCCCCCACCTTTCTCACCCAGATCAGTATGTTGTAACAAAATAACTAAAAAATCAATTATCATGTTCCAAGATGCTATACATTGGGTAACAGAGAAAGCCAGTGAGGTCTTGTCAAAGCCCCACAAATTTGGATAAAATCAAGAATCAAGTATCACACAGATTTTCAGTAAGATGTATTTAATACTAGGCTGGCGTAAATACAAAAGAAGATCTGACTCTCATTTATACTGAGTTAATTAAGGTGAAATCTCTTTGAAGGATTGGAAATGCTTCTTTCTAGTTTCTTTCTTCTAGGGTAAATTGCTGTTTATCAGATAAATTGTCAACTGATTCACTTGTTATCTGTTGACTATTTTTTCTACTTTCTCTGCCACTCCTTTCCCAGTCTTACCTCTCACACTCTACTCTGTCACATGTATAGTGGTTAATATGTTAGACCAGTGGTGGCAAACTTATAGCACGGGTACCAGAGGTGGCACTCAGAGCCCTCTCTATGGGCACGCGCACCGTTGCCCCAGTCCTAGGCCTTCAGCTGGGTTTTATAAAACCTTTTCGCTTTAGGCCTCCACTGCTGTGTGCAAAAAAAAAAAAAAAAAGGTTCAATTAATCAGTCAATTTCAACTTCTCGCGGGAAAAAAAAAAGATGTTGCAAAGTTGGAATTGATTGATTGAACTTTTTAGTCTCATCCAGTCTTCCGTTATCACCAAAGCCATGCCCACCCAATGAGCCACCCCCCCAATTGGCCAGGTGGGTGTGCATCGTTGGGTGTTATGCACCCAACGATACATAAGTGGGTTTTGGATTGCAGTTTGGGCACTCGGTCTCTAAAAGGTTCGCCATCACTGTGTTAGACTAAGACTGGGGATATCCAGGTCATCAGCCTTAGTTTTAGAAACTCCCTCAAAGCCTTTGTGCTTTTCACTCTTTCACAATCCAATCTACTTAGCAAGATTGTTATCATGGGAATAAAACAAAGGAGATCTCCATGTAACCTGCCTTAACCTCTTTGAGGAAAAGTGCAATGAAAATCTTTTAAACAAATAAATAAGTAATATGAAGCTGAAAAAAATGCATCCAAGTGAGTTCAACTTGTGAAGCTTGTTTGGTCAGTAAAGTTTTCTGTTAGTGAAATGGGAACCTGAGCAATTTTAGATTTCTTTAACTTTTTTGTTCTGCTTGTAGGAAAGAATGGGAAATCACTGAAAAATCACCTCACTATTATGTCAGTGAAAGAAGACTGCTGGATTAAAGAGCTCTCATCAATTTTTGACTAAAAATAAGCCAAGCCCTGCTACCTTTTTCGGACCAGAAATAAAAATTAGGGAAGGGTAAGAATTGTCTACCAGCTTCAATGTCTTTAAGAGATCTTCTGGAGGTCAGTTTTATGTCAAATATTTTGTTCTAAAAACTTTTGTTTTCAACAGCAACAATCTGGAGATGTTGAAAACATCTGTTCTTTCATTGCTCCACTGCTGCAGGAAAAGATAATGTGAGATGTGGGGCTCTGTGGGAGTAGGGGGTTCTCCATTCCATTCTTGAACTGAGAAACCAAGTAATCCTCATGTGACTTGTTTGTGAATTTTGTGAAGTACCCCATGGTTACATTCCAAAAAGAGTTTATCATTTCAGGGGAAGATCTATCCATCTTAAGAGTGTAATAGATATTCTTGATAAGCTATCAAATTCTACAGGTTTAACTTTAAGGAACATTTTATACAAAATATGTTATACTCGTCACTATGTTTACTAACAAATTTGTGGAAAATGTATTCATCCTTGAAAATATCTTGGCACTGGTAATGAATGATGCTAAAAATATACTTTACATTCGTCTTTGATTTTTAAAAATCCACAGAGGATCTAAACACAAAATAAGACTTTTGTTTATTCTTCTGATACAATAAACATTTAAGTGATATTGTAAACTGCTTTCATAGACAACCCCTCCCCCCATTATAGGGTTTTTACAGGTAGGTCGTAACAAGTGTGTCGTTGCATGTGTTCATTTCTTGCAATGTAATTGCTATCTCTATAACTCTTGTTGAATAAAGTAGACATTATAAATATACCAGATGAAGAATATTTGAGCCATTAAAAAGCTAAAAGATAGTTGCATACTTTTCTCATTGCTGAATTCAAACAGTTTCCAATAATTGGTAATAAAAAAAATCAGACAAAACAATGTTAATCAGTTCATTAGCACTATACCTGGTGTCTGGTCTGTGAGTTCCTTCGTCCTCTGTTGTAAAATGCAATTAGAAATAAAGTACATAAGAACAGGATAAAGAATGTAAATATAAAAATCACAAAATGTAGATATTCCTGAAGCTTAGAATAATATGAAAATTAAAAACAAATACTAGGTTCTTAAAACCAGAGTAGCATAATAATGATTGGATGTAATCTTCCCTGTGGATTTAATCAGGACATTATAAAAACATATGTATGATATATGTACATATTGACTTCCCTTATTTTATTTTAGGGTTTATGCTCTCTGAAAACTTGATATAAAACATAAAGCAAGACACTTAACCAATGGAAAAAAGGAAATTACAGAGAATGGGGTCAAATTCTGTAATCCAAATGTATTGACAAATGTGTACATAAAATTTTAGAGCCTTATTTTCAAGCTAAAAGATATTTTCTTCCTTGTCTCAAGTTCTATGTATAGTGAAAATATTTTCTTAATCTTTTCTACAACTAATTTCTAATATGGATAATTATCATGGCAAAGAGAATCACAGCATTACAAGTTTTATTAACATTATTTGTTGTGTTGCACACAGCAATTTGTCCATATTAAAAACTCAGCCTAAGGCTGAGAATTCTTCACCAGCATGGAGGAACTTTTCATTTTGGGTAAATGGGTTGAATAAGATAATGATGGCCATGTTGAGTCTACTAGTAGCAGTTGCAGATATAGATGTAATGGGAGGTAGGGTTTATAAGTAAAACAATCACACAATGCACGAGTAAAGGGTTTGATAGATTTTGGGCAGTGATTTTGATAGGAAGAAGTCTTTGGTGTAAATCAATTATACTAGCATAAATCTCATAATAGCATTTTAAAAAAAAGCACAATTGCATTAAAAATAACTTGCATAAATGAGAAAATGTAGCATATAAATGATAGTCTTTCAATGGATTGATCATGTGAATATAGCTCAATTATTATTTTTATTATTCCTCATGTGCTTTGCATGTATATGTGCATGTTATAGAATAGAATAGAATAGTGTTGGAATATTCATGAGCAGGAAGAGTCATGTAGTAAGCCAATGTGAAGAAAGTGCTATTGAGTCTGTGCAAAAAAGAGTATTGAGTTAAGAGCTGGATTTCCAGTCTCAGGTTTTGTCTCTGTATCTCTCTGTAAGAAGTCTTCAATTAAACTATGTTGCTGTAAAGAAGAATGTATGGTAATGTAAATATTTTGATATAAAGAAGTTATTTTGAATCAGCTAAATGCAGTCAACTGTGAGAGCTTCTGATTTATTTTTTTCACCAATAGAGAAATTAAAATTCTCTAACAGGTTATGGGCCCAGAGCTTACTAAGGACTGCATTGTAATTTAAAGCTGGAAGAAATTGCCTTTGTTTAGAAAGTATAAAAACAAGGCAGAATTAGCAGAATGGCTGCAATGGAATTTAAGGAAAGCTGTGTGCCTCGTTTGGGCCAGAAGAATTACATTGTGTGGGCTGCTAGAATGGAATGTTTGCTCAAAGCAAAAGAGCTGTGGTATATTGTAGAAAATCCACAAGTGTTTGCAGCAGTTATAATAATAATAATAATAGTAAAGTTGGAAGGGACCTTGGAGGTCATCTAGTCCAACCCCCTGCTCGGGCAGGAAACCCTACACCATTTCGGACAAATGGCTGTCCAGTCTCTTCTTAAAAACTTCCAGTGTTGGAGCATTTACTGCTTCTGGAGGCAAGCTGTTCCACTGATTAATTGTTCTCACTGTCAGGAAGTTTCTCCTTAGCTTCTAGGTTGCTTCTCTCCTTGATTAGTTTCCACCCGTTGCTTCTTGTCCTGCCTTCAGGTGCTTTGGAAAATAGCTTAATTCCCTCTTCTTTATGGCAGCCCCTGAGATATTGGAATACTGCTATCATGTCCCCCCTTGTCCTTCTCTTCGTTAAACTAGACATACCCAATTCTAGCAACCGTTCCTTATATGTTTTAGCCTCCAGTCCCCTAATCATCTTTGTTGCTCTTCTCTGTACTCTTTCTAGAGTCTCAACATCTTTTTTACATCGTGGTGACCAAAACTGGATGCAGTATTCCAAGTGTGGCCTTACCAAGGCATTGAAGAGTGGTATTAATACTTCGCGTGATCTTGATTCTATCCCTCTGTTAATGCAGCCTAGTACTGTGTTGGCCTTTTTGGCAGCTGCCGCACACTGCTGGCTCATATTTAACTGATTGTCTACTAGGACTCGAGGTCCCTCTCACAGTTACTACTATTGAGCATGGTGCCACCTATGCTGTACTTGTGCATTTGGTTTTTCTTGCCTAAATGTAGAACCTTGCTTTTTTTCACCATTGAATTTCATTTTGTTAGTTAGTGCCCAGTGTTCAAGTCTGTCCAGATCCTCCTGTACCTGAAGCCTGTCTTCTGGAGTGTTGGCTATTCCTGCCAGCTTGGTGTCATCTGCAAATTTGATGAGTTCCCCATCTATCCCTTCATCCAAATCGTTGATGAATATGTTGAAGAGTACTGGGTTGATCAGAAAAGCCATGATCAAGCAATGGCTTATCTCATCTTGAATTTAGATGATGAACAATTTCTAAATGTTGCAAATTTAAAGACTGCAAAGGAGATTTGGTTGAAGTTGAGAGCTGTGCACCTGAATGTTTCTGCATGCAATATAGTGCAATTGTCAAGAAAACTTTACAGGGCCTGTTTGCAACCAGGTGAATCTGTGGAACAGCATTTAAATAAAATGCAAAGTTTATTTTTGGACTTAGAACAACATGGGATTAAGTTCCCTAAGTCCCAGAAGGTTTTATTGGTGTTGAACAGTTTAGATAAAACCTGGGACACAGTTTCTGCAATATTTGAATGCAAAGAAGAGCAAGACTTAAAGTTTGAGGCTTTAAAGGCATGTTTGCTTAATGAAGAAGAAAAACGCCATTTTAGAAGCAGCCACGAGGAGGAGAAATCCTTACAAATCCTTACACAGCAGCAGAGAACGGTGTAGCTGAAAGAAGGAATGGTGTTTTGCAAACAATGAAAGATTCATTATTGGAGGATTCTGGTATGAGCAGGTCATATTGGGGAGAAGCCATATTGACTGCCAATTATATAGTTAACAGGCTGTGGAGTTCCTCCATTAATAATACTCCATATGCCATTCTATATGGGAGAAAGCCATCACTGGCACATTTGAGAATTTTTGGAAGTACTGCTTGGGTACATATTCCGAAAGTAATCAGAAGAAAGGGACAGCAAAAGGCAAGAAAGCTCAGATTTGTGGGCTATGAGCCAGGGTCAAAGGATATCGCTTTAGCGATGGAAGTAAAAGAATTATAATTTCAAGGTCTGCTAATTTTGCAGAACAAAATTGGGACAGAATTAATGCAAATTCTGGGTATGTCTCACTTAATGACGGTGATCTATTTAATGACAATAACTCATCTAATGATAAAAAATTGATTATAGAAGATGTCAATGTTCAGGGAGGAGAGGCTGAACAAGACATGAAACCAGATAGACTTGAGACACAGGAACAGTTAATACCACGTAGGTCAGAGCGATGTAACAAAGGAATTCCACCTGACAGGTATTCTGCCAGCAAGGTAAAGGTTTGCAATGTGTGGTATGAGCCAAGAAGTTATAAAGAAGTGTTGGCATTACCAAAAGTTGAACAAGAAAGATGGAAGGAGGCCATGGATAAAGAGATGAAATCCATGGGAGACCATGAAGTATTTAAATCAGTGACTTTACCACAGGGAACCAAAGCTGTGGGTTGTAAGTGGGTATATAAGAAAAAGATATTGCCAAATAATGATATACAGTATAAGGCCAGGTTAGTGGCACAAGGTTTTTCACAATTAAAGAATGTGCACTATGATGAAGTATTTGCGCCAACTGTGAAAAGTGAGAGTATAAGATTAGCACTGGCGTTGGCAGCGGCATATAAGCATAAAATCTGGCACTTTGATATCACAACTGCATTCCTCAATGCTGAGTTAGAGGAAGAAATTTATATGATCCAAGCACCAGGATATGAAATTGCAAAACCTAACATGGTATATAAATTAAGGCTATTTATGGGCTGAAGCAGTCAGCCAGAAACTGGAATATCTGTTTAGATACTGCTTTAAAGGATCTTGGATTTAAAAGTTGCAAAGCTGATAATTGTATATATACTGGACATTTACAAGGAATTTAGATGTCCAGTAGAATTGTCTGTTATCATTTGTGGATGATCTTTGCTTCATTGCAAAGGATGCATCACAAGTCAAAGAATTTGCTGATAAATTAGGAAAGAAATTTGAATTAAAGAATTTGGGAGAAATAAAAAATTATCTTGGTGTAGAGATACAGAAAAATGAAAAAGGTGGTTATATTCTCAGTCAAAGGAGAAAAATTGAGCAGTTATTGGAGAAATATAATATGAAGGATTGCAATACTGCTCTTACACCCATGAGTGCGGATTTTTATAATAGTTTAAGTGCGGACAAAGGTGAAACCTGTGATCAAGAGATATATCACTCAGCAATAGGGACTTTGTTATATCTATCACAATGGTCCAGACCAGACATAGCTTGCGCAGTAAGCATTTTGAGTCGTTTTACTGCTGCACCTACAAAGTTACATTGGATGGGCGTAAAAAGGGTTCTCAGATATTTAAAGGGAACTATAAATTTGGGTCTTCAAATACAGATTACTGAGGAATTGAAATTAAAGTGTTATGTCGATAGTGACTATGCAAATGACATAAACACAAGGAAATCAAATTCTGGGATTATAATATTGATTGGATGGAAGTCCAGAAAACAAACAACTGTTGCTATTTCAACAGCGGAAACAGAGTTTATTGCTTTATATGAATTGTGTTCTGAAGTTACATGGTATGTGCAGTTGTTGCAAGATTTAAATATTAATGTACAAGAATCTGTAAAGGTATTTGAAGACAATGCTGCCTGTATAAAAATGGCAACTGGTGACAGGGTGAAGAACAGAAGTAAACATGTAGACATTAAGTATTGTAATGTCAGGGAAGCTGTAAAAGGAAAATTGATTAGTTTACATCATTGTTCTTCTGAGGATAATTTGGCAGACATGATGACTAAACCATTGGGTAATGTTCACTATGGAAAATGTGTTAAGTTAATAGGTCTGATGTCTCTTCCTGTCATGAAGGGAGGAGTGTTGGAATATTCATGAGCAGGAAGAGTCATGTGGTAACTCAGTCAGCCAATGTGAAGAAAGTGCTACTGAGTCTGTGCAAAAAAGAGTATTGAGTTAGGAGCTGGATTTCCAGTTTCAGGTTTTGTCTCTGTATCTCTCTGTAAGAAGTCTTCAATTAAACTATGTTGCTGTAAAGAAGAATGTATGGTAATGTAAATATTTTGATATAAAGAAGTTATTTTGAATCAGCTAAATGTAGTCAACTGTGAGAGCTTCTGATTTATTTTTTTTACCAATAGAGAAATTAAAATTCTCTAACAAATAGAATAGAACAGAATAGAGTAGGAGCTGGAAGGGACCTTGGAGGTCTTCTAGTCCAGCCCCCTGCTCAAGCAGGAGAAGACAAGTGACTGTCTAGCCTCTTTTAAAAAATCTCCAGTGATGGAGCGCCCACGATTTCTGGGGGCAAGCTATTCCACTGGTTAATTGTTCTCACTGTCAGGAAGTTTCTCCTTAATTCCAGGTTGCTTCTCTCTTTAATCAGTTTCCAACCATTGTTTCTTGTCCTGTCCTCTGGTGCTTTCGTGAATAACGTGACCCCCTCTTCTTAGGGCAGCCCCTCAAATACAGGAATACTTCTATCATGTCTCCCCTATTGCTTTTTTCTTTAGACTAGCCAAACCCAAGTCCTGCAGCCATTCTTCATATGTTTTAGTCTCCAGGCCTCTGATCATCTTAGTTGCTTTTCTCTAAATTTTTTCCAAACTCTCAACAAAGTGGTACTAATCCCTCATTTGATCTTGATTCTATGCCTCTGTTTATATAACCCAGGATTGTATTAGCTTTTTTAGCTGCTGCTGCTGCATACTGCTGGCTCATGGTTAAGTGATCGTCCATTAGTGTTCCAGAATATTATGTATTAAGACCATGTTTGAGCACAGTCATTTTAACTAGAAGTACTGACTTAGCCAATAAAGTGAGTTAACAGTTACTGAAAACTTAGGTCATTTCTAGTTCTATCCATCCAGAAATTTATCAGAGAGGGCTGAAGTAAAAGTAAGCACTTATGTAGAAAAAGGAAAATAAGAATTTCATAAATATTAAGATAGATTTATTTATTTATTAAGAGCTGTGGTGGCACAGTGGTTAGAATGCAGTATTGCAGGCTAATTCTGCCGACTACCAGCAGTTCAATCCTAACTGGCTCAAGGTTGACTCAGCCTTCCAGCCTTTCGAAGTTGGTAAAATGAGGACCCAGATTGTTGGGGGTAATATGCTGACTCTGTAAACTGCTTAGAGAGGACTGTAAAGCACTGTGAAGTGGTATATAAGTCTACATGCTATTGCTATTATTAAGTTTCTTTCCTTTGTAAAATTTGCTATAAGTTTAAGTTTTAAATCGTTTTTCTAAGCACAATGAATCTTAAGGGTACTGTTATTTTGTGAATTATATACCAAAATTACGTATGTTTATATCACCACACGTAACTACAACCCTCACAATTCTTTCCCAAAGATAAGATTAGGAGGCAGTGATAAGTTGTGTGTAGTTACCTAAGCAGAACACCTTACACTGTTATGTGCCCTTTCTGCTCCTGGTATCTCCAAGTTAATGCTTGGGAAGAGCACCGGGCCACCCAAAAGATGGACATTTCCACCAGATATCCCTATGCAATTTATTCATCTAGACCTTCCCTTCTGTAGACCTTTTCTTCAATGAATTCTGAAGTTATACCCTATATATTCACTATATTCACTATATCAAACAATGAACTTTGATTGGGAGGTGGCTTCCTTCCTTAGAAAGCCAAAGAAATCTGTCACTGATGCACTGATGTGGACACAGAAGAAAGAAGAAATCAATGTATGTACTGACCACAGAGGTTAGAATTCTGATACTGGTGACAAATATCTACCATCGGTGTATGCATAAGCAGGCCATTAAAAAGATACTCGAAGAAGGGGCCACAGTTTTTCTTTCCAGGGAGGGCATTGAGACCCATTGGGAAAATATTGGAGATGTGATTATAATCTGGAGGTTTAGTGTCCTATTCTTAAAGTTTGTTTCTTGTTTAAAAGAGGGATATATTAAGCCTTTCTGAAACATAATACTCCTATTTTATAGCTTTCCATAAAATAAACTTTTTGAGAGCATATTTAACAACTTACCTTGTAGTCATATATTCTGCCCTATGACCTAAATGATAAGAGAAACATAATCTGAAAACCAAAGGAACCAGAAGTATCTTTCTTTTATAACTGTACAACATGTATGCTAACCAGATTTTCAGTCCTGAATTATTTATAATGTAATTGTTCATATTTATTTCACAAGACTTATGCTTACATACAAGAAAAATAGTTTGCTATCACTACGGAGAGTTTTAAAATGTTCAGAAAGAAAACATTCTTTCTTATGCAAGTAAAGAATATTTATGCTATTAACTTAAGCAAAACAAAATTTGAACCAGTCTGGGCATGCATACATAATGAATTATTCACAGAAAGAGAAAAGCTTGCCAGTATGCTTTGGGGAATGAACATATAGTCAACATTCATAAGTTAAAAATAGTTTAGGATGTAGCTATACTTAGGAAAGTAAATATTTAATGATGCTACAAAAAGATATATGACTTTGGGTTAAATAATATAAATATCTGGTACAGATGAGCCCAATAATGTTCTATATATCCTTCATACATTTCAATCATATATAACTTAGCAATACTGCAAAAGTCCCTCTGAATAAATGGAAATTGTACACAAAATGTCAGTGATTGATAATTTGTAGAAATTAAGACAACAAAGAAAAAATAAATTTCTATTATAGCAGTTTACCAAATAAGAAATCAGGGATCCAAATTGTATTTAATAAACATAATTATGGCTGTTTGATGGGAAAAGAATTCAGGTCTTGTTTAATTCTTATAAATGCTGACATTTCTGCAAACAGACCATATACATTAATATATGTCACTTGATTTAGTTATAGTTAACCTGAAACATAACTATTCTATTATTCAGCACTATCCATATAAGTCCTATAACAGCACAAATTGATGTTTTTCATAAATGATTACTTAGATTTTGTTTCACAACACAATTTCCATAAAAATAACTCTGGTTGTATAAAAGGGGAAAAAAAGCAATACAATCATATATAGTAAGGTCCAATGAACTGGTCTTAAAAGCAGAAATTTAATTTTTTAAAAATTCATATAAACTGATCTTAATAGCAGATATCCCTATACAGAATCATAACACATCGGCAGACAATACAGTTAAATATTAAATTATGTGGGTAATAGAAATTTTCTTTTAAACTTGATTTTTACACATTTGGAACAGCATTATTAAGAATCCCATTTAAATATGAGATTTTCTGTGATTCATGATAATGCATGAAATCCCACTGTTTGAAGAATTACTCTGCTGGAGCACATTTGTAATGAAAGATATGCTTTCTCAATAATATAATGAACAAAGTAGCAGCACCATGCTTTTGCCCAGAAAGTTTATAATGAATTCTATTCATTATGAGTCACTGTTTGAGCCTTCAGGGATGCAGAAGATGCAAAGTAATGTTAGAGCAATATCTTGATTCTTAGGAATTATAATGTAAAACAATTCACACAGTAAATTGGACACTAAATGGCCTTGCACAGTCGGTTGGCTAATTCTACCAAAATTTCTTTTTTTCTATCTCCTCCTGTCTATTAGAGGTTTAATACCTTTACTGCAATAATTATTAATTGGTTTATTAAAACAAAGAAAAGAAAATGTAAATTTTCAATAAATAAAAAAACAAGATTAGTTTTATTTTGTGTTTGTGGTTTGGGATGTTTTTCCCTTATTTAAGTGTATACTGTTTGCTATGTTATGAGACACCATTTGCAAGCAATATTAAATTGTAATATGACTTTTGGTTTACTTCCCCTTGGTTTAGCATGATCCCTTATTAAAAAGGAATCATAGCTTACAAACTATAAAACATGAGCTTATGCATCATGCTAAACCCCAAACAAGCAGAACTACTTAGCATAACAAATAAAAGGGACATAAATTACAATTATTATTTAAATATATTGCAATAGTGAAGAAAATATGCAGCTCAAAGTTGAATTGTTGGATTATTGGTATTCTCTGAGTTTGCTTTTGATATTTAATAAGAAAATTCTATGTAGCAGAAACCTATGTTACCTATAATAACTGTCCAAATCCTAATGTTCAATATATGTCTGTAATGTATTTTGAATAATTTACCTTCTTCAAGTGTCTGCTGCAGTGAATCATGTTTTGCCTGAAGCTTCGTGATAAGATTGCTTCCTTCCAAGTACTCTCTGAATTTCTGCAGAGACAGAATCTGTATTTCTTATCTGAATATTTGTAATCAAAATTAGTGGGATTTCAGGGAACAAAACAACTACAATCAGGTCACATTACACAGTATGTAAAACATCCGACATACCATGAAATAAAACTGTTCAGTCTCCTGCTGGTTAGCTCTTCTTTTAGCTATGCTAGGCTTGCTCAGGTAGGTCTCAGAAACTGTTGACTTGACAGACTCAGTCGAACGACTGTGTTGGAAGCATTCAGAAACATCATAGTCTTCAATGGTGACCATATCTTGTATTGTCTGTAAAGTAGCTTCTGTTGTCTTCTTAACCTGGGGTTAACAAGTCCATTTCATCAAACATAAAGGCACATCAAAATTTATTTCAGAATGAGAATGGAAAAGGGTTGAATGAAATCAATCCTCTGATAATTCATCTCTGATCGAACTATAGGATGTGAACGTAAGAAATATGAGGTTTCACTAAGAAATATGAAGTTTCACTAAAACAAAACCAAAAGCAATTAACAAATCAAATTATAGCCTTCAAATTATAGTTTGTTTATTTCAGTTTATTTCAGAAGTATACTGTATTGCTGTTTCTTGTGAGAATTAAATTCTTTTCAGAGACTACACTGCAATGAATATCAGACATTATTTCTATAGTAGCACATAGGAAAATGTGGAACAAATAGGAAGTACTTTCAAAGAAAGTAAGAGTGGATTATTTCCTGAGAGCAACTCATTAAGCACTACAGTTTTACAGTATAGTGCTGAGATTCAGAGACTTAGGATGAGTTTCTGCTGACGTTCTTTCTCCTTCTCAGGCAGAGTTCCCCCCCCCCACCCATAGATTGCTAAAATATTCCATTTTGCTCAGTTTTGTGGAACCATTTTAAATATAAAATAATTTGAAAAGGGAGCTCTGTAGATGAGCATTCAGCCTGGTTAATGATAGATGGCAAATAAGAGACCATAGTCTTATGTCCTCTATGTTATCCCATTTTCCTAAAACAGTTAAAATAGGTGAGAAAAGTTAACACACCACTTTTGCACGATGAAGCTGCATTAATTCCAGAATGGTCCATATGATTTCTATACAGCAAAATCACTACTGGAAGAGGAATGCAATTTAAAAAATCTATAGTAATAGAGATTTGCAAAATATTTTGGAGTCAAATTCTGTGACTCCATTTTAGCAAGTGTATCATTTAAATCACTAATAAGCCAAGTGTTGTGGTACTAGAAAAAAGATGAATTGTCCCAAAATCTATTATTTTCTTGTTTTGTATTTATTTGTACACCCTTGGGACATGGACTTGCCATTTCATTCTTTATATAGTATCTGTATACAGATGATTATTAACTTTTTTTCTAAATTGCGTGGGCAGTTTTAGAAACCAATTTGATAAACAGTATTATTCTAATCTAATAAGGTTTATTGAAAAGTTTATTACAAAGAAACAATATGGCTGCAAAGTATGAAATGAATCTGTAGGGCATAAAAGAGAAGGATATGCTACCCTTATTACAAATCTTACCTCTTCATTTTCAATTTTCAAAGTTGTTAGTCGAGACTGAAGTTGCTGATATCTAAGCATGAATTCTCCTTGAACTGGCTGTTGGGCACTGACTTGAGAAACCTTAAAAAAGCAGGAAAAACTGAGAAATCATGTGAAAAGAGAAGGAAAAAAAGTGCTCAGTTGTAATGGGCTCCTACAATTCTGCTGTGGTGGCACAGTGGTTAGAATGCAGTATTGCTGGCTAATTCTGCTGACTGCCAGCAGTTCGATTTTCACAGGTTCAAGGTTGACCCAGCCTTCCATCCTTCTGAGGTTGGTAAAATGAGGATCCAGATTGTTGAGGGCAATATGCTGACTCTGTAAACTGCTTAAAGAGGGCCGTAAAGCACTACAAAGCAATATATAAGCTGAAGTCCTATTGCTATTGCTGCTTTGCATAATAGATCAAAATTTCAATCATCAAGACACAGAATAAAATATATGATACTAATAATTTTCCTTTAATTAAAAGTCTATAAGACTATATTAAATGAATATTCTTGTGGATAATTAGATATCACACATGTCATTATGAATATGAGAACATGAAAATTGCTGTAGATGCTTACATATGAGACATTAAGAAAAAAAAACTATGGTGCTGATCACCACGGATGTCTGGATGTTGGCAAACTGGTATTAATTATACAGTAGGCGCAAATACCACAACTGGAACAGGTGGGCTGACTGAATTGCCAGAAGCTTGATTCTCAGATCTGCTTAAAACATGGCAACCCTTGGTAACATATGGCTTTCCCAATGTACTGAGTACACTATGTCTGACCAAGAAATGATCGAAGATAAAATGAAGCAATTGTTCATTCTAGAATGCATCTTAAATATCTACAAATAGAAAAAATCTTTTTCAATGATTAGTTTTGAATGATTCTGAAGCACTCTGAAGAAGTTTGAATAATATAGGAAACATATAAAAGCAACTTTTCTCTTCCTTTACTTATAGGTTGCAATCTACAGTTGATTCTCATTATTTATAGTTCTACATTTGCAAATTTGCAACATTTATTTGCAATTTCAAAATCAATATTCATGGTATTTTCACAGTCATGCAGAGTGATGAAAAATTGTGCATGTTCTTAGCTGATGTTTCACTATTCACTAATTTAGTGTCTGATACAATTTCACAGAATTGAACTACCACAAAGAAATGAGAAACCTTTGTATTTGGCCAACTACCAGTAACAAAAAGATTACCAATCTTGTGGTACAGTTGAATAGACAATAGTGAATGATTTTTCTGGTCTCTGATTTGCATAGAGTATCTAATAAATTAAGTTCTACACAAAACGTTAATGAGCAGTATTTTTGATATAATTTCCATGGCAATATTGTAGTGTCTCTAGAAATAATACTGGCTCTTAGGCTACCAACTCTTTCCTCAGATGAATGAAAGCTAGAAACTAAGAAAAAGAAATCACAATAAATATCTAGATGCAAACAAAAATATTGTTTAAATTTTATCTAAATAAGAAATTGTGATATTTGAAGAGAATAGCAGTTTCTCTGTATATCAAAAGTAGTATATAAATGATAATATCGTGAATCAAAAATAGCCAGAACCAGAATGTGGAATATACTTGTTAGGTCAATTAAAAGGATCAAACTATGAATTTTTGCTACTTGAGTGACTGCAGCATAAATAGTATTTTCCAAAAAACACTAAATGGCAGTATCTCCATTTTATATCTGTAAAAATGGGTTAGCAGTATAAGTGCTTCAGCATGTACTTGTATATATACAAAAATTAACATAGTTTCCACAAAAGGAATTCTGTGGAGTAAAAGAAATTATATTGACTATATTGTTATTTTTGAATTCGTAGGTTAGAGGAAGGGGAAAAAGGACAGAATTAAATAAATAAGAGTAATAAAATAATAATCCAGGTAAAACTATGGCTAAGCAACCATTCAATTAATTGGGGAGTTTATTGGCTGGTATGGGGAAGGAGGAATCTCAGTAAATAAGTCACCTCTTAGATTTTTTTTGCTATTTATCTAAATGAGATAGGATTTTTAAAGAGGATAAGGTAAGGTGGAGGAAGCAAAAGAATACTATTGCTATATAAACCCTTCATAATATCAGGCAATTTTTCAATAGATTTTGGTGGGGAAAGAGCTTTCAATAATTTTCTGATAATCTTAACTCCATAGAGAAATTAGATAGAGACATTCTAAAAGATATAGACAATGGGGGAACAGTGTAAAATTATTTCTTTATATGTTAGAGATCTGGGAGATCCGATTAAGAGGAAAAGGATGTTATTTACATCAAACCATTTAAACCTCCTGTGGCTATGTTAATGTATACAACAAATAGGTTCAATGTTAGCATGAGAGAGCATGATTTAAAAAATCAAATAAGTTTTATTTAGAAATTAGCAATTTATTAGCAAATTATATTAAAATTGGATTAGATGGTATTTCAAACAAATTTGCTTCCAACAAGCAAAGTTAATGGGAGCAACTGGCATCTCTTAATGATTCATGATTCACTTAACACAGCAAAAAAGGTTGTAAAATCAGGCACAACTCACTTAACAACCACCTTGCTTAGCGACAGAAACCGAGGTCCCAATTGTAGTCATAAGATAATTTTGATCCTTAAATTGGATAAAGATTTTGGGTTTGGCATTTTATAAGCCCATTTTCTTTCTTAGTAAAGATTATAAGCTGTACACTAAACTGTTAGCTAACTGATTAAAAAGTGATTACAGGTAATCCTCAACTTACGACCACAATTGAGCCGTAAATTTATGTTGCTGATAAATTTGTTAAGTGAGTTTTGCCCCATTTTACAACTACTCTTGCTACTGTTGCTAAGTGAATCACTGCAGTTGTTAAATTAGTAACACGGTTGTTAAGTAAACCTGGCTTCCACATTGACTTTGCTTGTCAGACGGTTGTAAAAGGGGATCACATGACTCTGAGATACAGCAACCATCATAAATGTGAGCTAACAAGTATCCAAATGTAAATTACATGACCATGGGGATGCTGCAGCAGTTATAAGTGTGAAAATGCTCATAAAGCCCAGATAATACTTAACAGTTATGACTCAGACCTATCATGATTTTAAGAGTTAACAGGCAAGGTTGTCCTTTATCACCTACCTTTACTATTCAGTTTAGCTACAGAGCTGCAGCCAATAGCACTTAGATCCAATAATCAGATTAACGGGATAAATCTACTTGCAGATGATATGAACTCGACTTTCTCAAATTTGATAAAGTAGACCACAACCTACTACTTGATAAGATAGAAAAATGTGGGTTAGACAGCATCACCACCAGATGGATTCAAAGCTGCGGACTGGCTGTACTCAGCATGTGGTCCTCAATGGAACTGCATCTACATGGAGGGAAGTGTGTAGTGGGGTGCCCCAGGGCTCTGTTCTGAACCCAGTGCTTTTCAACATCTTCATCAATGATTTGGATAAGGGGATAGATGGGGAACTCATCAAATTTGCAGACGACACCAAGCTGTCAGGAATAGCCAACACTCCACAAGATAGGCTTAAGGTACAGAATTATCTTGACAAACTCGAACATTGGGCGCTTCTAACAAAATGAAATTCAATGGTGAAAAAAGTAAGGTTCTACATTTAGGCAAGAAAAACCAAATGCAAAGGTACAGTATAGGTGGTACCTTGCTCAATAGTAGTAACTGTGAGAGGGATCTCGGAATCCTAGTGGACAATAACTTAAATATGAGCCAGCAGTGTGCTGCAGCTGCCAAAAAAGCCAACACAGTGCTAGGCTCCATTAACAGAGGGATAGAATCAAGATCACGTGAAGTGTTAATACCACTTTATAACGCCTTGGTAAGGCCACACTTGGAATACTGCATCCAGTTTTGGTCACCACAATGTAAAAAAGATGTTGAGACAGGGAAGAGCAACAAAGATGATCAGGTGACTGGAGGCTAAAACATATAAAAAATGGTTGCTGGAATTGGTTATGTCTAGTTTAATGAAAAGAAGGACTAGGGGTGACATGATAGCAGTGTTCCAATATCTCAGGGATTACCACAAAGAAGAGGGAGTCAAGCTATTCTCCAAAGGACCTGAAGGCAAGACAAGAAGCAATGGATGGAAACTAACCAAAGAGAGAAGCAACCTAGAACTAAGGAGAAATTTCCTGACAGTTAGAACAATTAATTAGTGGAACAACCTGCCTCCAGAAGTTGTGAATGCTCCAACACAGAAGTGTCAGGATCCAGCTATATTTCCTTTCTATGTATCTGATCTAAAAAACCAATTCTTACCCTCTCCTGAATTCTGCCATATGCATAAGGGGGAGGGGGAGTATGCATGAAGGTTTTATTACTTTTACTTCCTCTATTCACTACAAAACAACCTTTTGTTTATCCGCCTCGGGTCTGCTAACCATCACAATGTAACCATTAGCCTTTTATCCTATGCCCCTCTGAACTTCTCCTCCTTACCAGCCAGCTAGGAAGGGTGTGTGTGAAAAGATGCAGCCTCCGGAATCTGGTTTATTTATCCATCATCAAAATAATGTGTGAGGAGCTGTTGAATGATCATGTACAATGAAACCGGATTGATGTTATCTTTCCTGGATTTAACACCTAGAAATCTGCCAGTCTGAATCGCCCGGAAGAACTGCGGGGTGGGGGCTGCTTAGGGACACTTTAAAACATTGATTTGTAAGGAACTCTCTCAGATCCTGTCTATCATGCCTGCTATCAATTTCTCTTAATAAAAGTTCTTGTTGGAAGAAACTGTTTCCAAGAGTTCTGCTTTCTTAAGATGTGGATTGAAGTGGGTCCTTACAGGAAGTTTTTACGAAGAGACTGAACAACTATTTGTCTGAAATGATATAGGGTTTCCTGCCTGAGCAGGGGGTTGGACTAGAAGACCTCCAAGGTCCCTTCCAACTTATGTGAGGGTCTGGATGGGGGTGAACAGGCTTAGACTCAACCCTGACAAGACCGAGTGGCTCTGGGTCTTGCCTCCCAAAGGCCAACTGGATGGTCCATCTTTAGTCCTGGGGGGGGGCAAATTTACCTCCCTCAGTGCAGGCACGCAACTTGGGTGTCCTCCTG